TGACAGTAAGTCTTCTTGAATCCGGCGCTCAACTTGATACCAGCATCATCCGTACGAGTATAGAGCTTATATGCGAATACAATTTGCTCTTGGTTATCCCGGGGCAAAAGACCCACCTTCAGCCCGTATCAATAATGCAGCTGATACATGAAAACTGTTGGAGAATCAAATGTTACACACCTTATACAGCATACCAGCCAACGCACGGGCAGTATATGCTCCGCGCGAGAAACCTAAAAAGTGCCATCATGGGATACGCGTAATAAGACACCGATTGAGCAAATAGATCTCACCGAAGAGACAAATCTTGTCTCCTGTGCGGAAGTTCTGCATTAAAAATCTATATCCATCCATGACGTGTGCATCCAAGTACCTGTGATTAATACACAGGTTTGAATACGAAGAAGGATGCTGCAATACAGAAAAGGAGCTGTACCATGCGAATGCTTCGTCGAGGACTTTAGCACACCATTGAAACAAGGGAGAAACGACTCCAGGGGCAAAGAAAGTACCTAGCATGCCTATAGGTCAAGAAACGGGCGTAGACAGTATTGACCGGTCCATTAGAACATACCGATTCCTGCCTGGTACGCCTATAAGAACAAAATCTTGGACAAATCACGACGCGAACTCACCTGGTAGTAGCACAGTTGATCATCGCAATTATCCTTCTCTAGAAGAGCGAAAAACTTGACGACATTGGTATTCTAAGAAACGATGAGTGTCACGCGGAATGGTAACATGAATTCTGAAGCTTGAAGGGTACCTCCGAGTCATACTCGCTAGCAGTTCCGTCGAAACACAGTATATGAGTCCGGATTTTTGAGGGAGTAGTATCTTCAGACATGGGTGGTTGATGGTGGTAAAATAAAATGGAGAGACACGATCGAAGAGGAAGCTTAAATTCGTTAGATCAACTCCCAAATTGGCCTTGCGTGCGGAGCTGAGATAAAAGGTCATAAGGCACGTTTGAGGACAAACTACAGTCCAATGCTGAGCGTTATGATTGTCACAGGAGTCCAAAGTTGTACTTGTGCTCTCTGTTTCCGACATCACGGGAAGACTCAAGATTCAATTGATTGAAGCGCACGTTCAGATCTGCTTATGTAATAAGCTACACACGTACCCGTGATATGACGAGACGCGACTTGACCAGCTACTCCTACTAGTCTACTACGCGTTTCAATGTCTTCAACATCGTCTGGGCCGCTTTACGAGGAGATCTGCGGTGTTGATTTCTCAAATCATGAATGGAGGACTCCACCAACGGTCGGCGTTATCCCAGAACTGAAGATCAGAATAGAGAATTGTCATCGGTGCGTGACGTTAAAGTTTATCTAAGTTGTAGATTTCTCATTCGCCCTCTAGTATCCTGAGGACTAGTATGCTTCTACTTCATGATCTTTGGCTGTGCTGCTAAGCTTTCGCCTAGCATTCGGGCATTCAAATTACAAGGGAAAGCAGAAGGAGATCATTGAGGCCGCCGTAGCAGGTTTGTTCATACCGGAAACCAGTGACTATTCAACTTGTTTACGACTTCCTAGGTCGAGATGTCTTTGTTCTTGCTCCGACAGGAATGGGAAAAGCATGTCCTTTCCACCCGATCCAGGCAGCTTCTGACCACTTTCCGACAGAGTTTATGCTTTCAAATCCCAGCAGCTGCAAAACAAGCATGTACTGTTTACTTACTTACAATACGCCGCAACTGATTCAAAATTTTGTAGAGCGGCATGACTTTAGTCATCTCCCCACTTTTAGGTGTGAATACCATGTAACACTGTTCTGATTTCCATTGATTATCAGCGTCTTAGCACTAATGAAGAACCGTATGTACCGAATGCTTGCGTATTATGTCCTATTTCATATAGCGTTCCTATCTTAGAAATTGAAGGACTACGCCGCAAAAGTGTTCCTGTAGCTTCGCTAACATCGGACACTCCTCCAAACGAAAAGGAAGAGGTCATATGTTTCTGAATACACCGTTTGCCGTTTACTCATCCCTTCTTATGTGTTCCAGATCAATCAAGCCTTGATGTCCGGACGTCCAAAAATCCGCCTTCTTTATAGTACGTATCCAAGCTAGACTTGAAGACCTTCTAATAACACTTGACTAGCTACTCCCGAAAAATTACCTCGTCCAGATTTCATGAAGTTACTTCGTATTGTCTACAATAAGGGGGAATTAAACAGACTTGTAGTAGATGAGGTTCGTTTCATTGTTGCTCTCGAACATTTGATCACTTACCTCGGTACTATATAGGCACATTGCATATCCGTGAGTCATCAACAGGTGATGATGGTAATCATCAATTACTTTCGCTGCAGGAATGGGGCCATGATTTTAGGGGGGAATATCGTCGAATAGGAATCTTCCGACAAAATTTTCCGGACGTGCCAGTGATGGCATTAACAGCCACTGCAACTCCAAGGTAAAAAGATTTGGCCATATCTGGGATGCTTGGGATCATTCTCCCTTCCTAGCGTCGTAGATGATATCATTTCTTCGTTGCAAATGAAAGGCTGCGACATTTTCGTCCATCCCTTCAACAGACCTAACTTATACTATGAGGTTTATATTCCTCAGAATTTTCCCCAAGTTATAAATCTCAGATCAAGTTCGTTGTAGATTCGCTACACTTCTTCCTCAGATGAATTGTCCAAAATGGCCGAAATATGCGATTACATTTGCGGTCTTCATCGCAAACGAGGTAAAGTATCGTGCGGAATAATCTATTGCAGGACGAAGAAGACGTGCGACTCCCTATCTGGGTATCTTAGGTCAAAGGGGTTAGCCTCTCGACCATATCATCGGGGAGTGGCGTAAGTTTTCGAATTCGAGGAATTTGATGGAACTGAAATGCAAGTTCCAACGCACAGAAAGGGTACTCTTGCTAAAACGTTCGAAGAATGGTCTATACCAGGAGGCTCCGAGAGTGGCGGTATAGATGTGGTGAGATTTTCAAAAACATCTTTTTGGGCCCGGGGCCAAGAATGTAATTCAATCTGATTCACATTGGAAAGGTCGTAGCCACCGTTGCGTTTGGTCTGGGAATAGACAAGGGTGATGTGCGATATGTTATCCACTATGACATCCCAAAAAGTTTCGAAGGCGAGCTTTTTCTTTGGTATGGATGTTACAGCACTCAGGGAATCTCAATTGTAATAGGTTACTATCAAGAAACTGGTGAGTCCTCCTCATTTCCCATTCTGCGGTCAATGTGATCCATACATTGTTTTTCAAGGCCGAGCAGGAAGAAATGGTGTTGTAAGCTACCAACTTCGGAAACTTTCAAACATGTATTGGCTCGGACTCATGAATAAGTAGCCTTCGAAGTGTATCTTATACTATTGTAAGTACCCTCTTCATTTACTGCTACGTCTACAAGGAGATTGACGTGCAGTTTCAGCTCGCGAAGATCTCAGTGAAGTTCGGCGATGGGTCGTTGATTCACATAGCAGTCGAGTGCAAAAAGCTGAAGATCTTCGATTTCCTGCCCCGAGCCAAAGATCAATATCAAGTTTGGAGAAGGTGAGAGATGATTCGAAGAAGTTGTTTCCCTTGGTTCTCTGATTTATATACACTCACAGTTGTCCCAATATGCAGAAAACACGGATGTCTGTCGACATATAGTGATTCTTCATAATAATAATATTGATCGCAACGTTATAATTTACCTGATGCGCTAATTCTCTAGTCGATATGCCGCTTCTTTGGTGAAGATATTGATGACAAAGATGCAGAAATCGTAAAACAGTATTGCAAGATGATGTGCGATGTGGGTCTCATCAAATACCGAAGAAATACTCGGATATATTTCGTTTCAGGTGTGCAAGTATCCGGAAAAAACCAAACGACGGAAAGAAACGCTGGGCGCGGCGCCGCTTGAATTCCGCACTGTACCAAGTCGTCCATCAGCGAACGCTGCAATCTGCGATACACACTCTACTGGGTGGAATGATAACGGCAAACGAATCGCTAGTGCCATGGATCAACGACTCGGGAATGGTTCGAGTGCAGCCAAGAAACACAAAATTACTGAATATAGCAAACCTCTAGGTCAGTAGCGTGATCCGTATGTTCAAATTGCTGATAAAACATGGTAGTCACAAAACCTTACAACTCTGCTGCCAGTTTATCCAAACCTTTCAAGGCCCCTTCAATGAACGGAAGAAGTTCTCTCGCCGTTGCTGCGCCAAAGAAGGTGGTATCTTCTTCGTCATCACGCTCATCCGAACAGCGTCAGACCCAGAACGGACCTCCATCAAGGGGTGTAAAGAATAGTGAAGCACAATTGAGGCTCGAAAAAGACTCTACCTTCGGGGTTGAACTCGGATCAGACTCATCTGTGCTGACAAGCTCACAAGACATGGCCAAAAATTCCGAATTAGATGGTGAGCTATTTCATCTCATCTTTTAGTCGTCGTACTGATGAGTATTTTAGCAATACCTGACCTTGTATTACCCGATGTCCACATTGAGATTGAAGATCCAAGCTCCGGTAAAGTTCCAGTCAGTGCTTACTATGTAGCCCTCTCTGTAAGTTAGCCGAAACAATTTCGCGTAATTCACAGGTCGCAATACGTCGCACTGCCGTTGGCGCTATACGACAAACCATACACCGCGTATTTACGAGGCGTGAAGAACTCTGGGGTCGACTGAAAAAGATCCCGAACATCGACACCCGGTATGGCAACGCATTACACTTAGCTTCATAATTCTGACTGTCTTGTCGTCTAGCGGCAGCATCATTGCTTCTGTTGCAACAGAAATTGAATACAGTTCCATTTTCTGTTTTTCGAGTACGTCCGAAGGATATCGAGTACGGCTCAAGAACAAGGTGCAAGCCCTGATCCTTCTGGGAGACGAACAATCATGGAAAATGGATGATGAACAGGAGTGTTTTGAGGACGCTAGAGAGGCAATAAAAATCATTACACGGCTTTGTAAGTGAAGAGTAGGTAGAACCACGAATTTACTTTGCCCAAGGAAAAACATGGCAGGGCCTGACCGGGAATTGAACCCGGGACCTCGTCGAATGGATTTCAGTCCCTAACAATGAATCATACTCCTAGACCATCAGGCCATATCGCTTACTAATTCGAAAATTCTCAATTGAATTACAAGTCTTATTTGGCCTCCTGGCGCTCCTGGCATTTCCGGTTACTATTCCACAATCCGTTATCTCCGCTTCATCGGGACTCACTAGAACGGACTAAGACAAACGAGGATCCACTAAGCCTCGCTGCAAGGTGTTTCATGCCAAATGACCCTGCAAAACGTGGACTTTCAGAACTTCAATCAAAAATCTATAAAATTTGAAGGCCCTTGTTATTACTAGCGAGCGGAATCCTTCTGTTTTTGCGGCCTGTTTTGCGGTCTGCATTTGCTTCTGCTCCACAACAAGAAAATATGCTTCTTTCCCTATTTTTAACTACAGGTCTCTACTCAAATATTGCCCTCGCTCGCCAGGAAGCCTTTGGGACCCCTGCAACCAATTTGGAGGCAAAAGCATGTGTGCGTGGTCTGAACAATCCATGACATTGAATTAATTCCTTTCTATATTCTAGTGTACTGGGCTGAATTCCCTACTCCCTGGACAAGTCTTCTGGCCATCTAGCGATTCATACCGAGCGCAACAGTCCTCGTATTATTCTGGTGAACAGGCCACAATGACACCAGCATGCCGAGTCTCTCCAAACAACACTTCCGATGTCTCACGTATACTCAAGTTTGCAAGCGCACATGAATGTCATTTCGCCGTTCGCACAGGAGGGCATATGGCATGGAGTGGCGCGTCAAATATTGGCTCAGAGGGGTTCACCATTGACATGCAACAAGTGAAGGGTGTTCCAACGCTTTCCGCGGACAAATCCGTCGTATCTTTTGGGGCAGGGTCAAGGTGGCGAGACGTGTACACTGTACTGCAACTGCAAAATCTTACGACTGTTGGGGGTAGGTAAGTACAGAATATAGCATCGACACGAGACAAAATTATTAATTAGTGCAAAAGGGTCGGTGATGTAGGAGTGGGAGGATTTCTCCTAGGAGGTGAGCGACGGATAAATATGAATCTTGAGCGCTTGAGCTTTGCTCATTCACCATTTTAGGAGGAATAGGTTTCTTATCCGCAGAGCATGGATTTGGAAGTGACAATATTCAAAACTACGAAGTGGTCCTCGTCAATGGCTCCATCATCAACGCCAATCGAAAACAGCATTCCAACCTATATTGGGGGTTGAAGCTGGGCAGCACAAATTTTGGCGTCGTGACCCGATTTGATATGTTCACCTTCTCACAAGGTCCGGTCTGGGGCGGATCGCAGTTTTTCGCGATCAAGGATGCGTCGAACCTTCTGGAGCGTCTTGTTACCTTTACCGAGAAATTAGCTGAAGATCCGAAAGGCTTTTTTGGCTTGAGTCTAGCATGGAATCCAGAAGCGAAGGACTACATCATCTGGACGCTCCAGACGTATCTCAAGCCAGAGGCATACCCTGCACTGTGGTCTGGCTTCGAATCGTTCACACCTCTCGTCGATATGATGGGAATTAAGAATCTTACCGACATCACCGAAGAATTTCAAGAGGCAGATCCTGGAAAACATGGACGTAGTCGCTGGCTTACGATGACCTACAAAGCAAATGCACAGTTCCATTTGGACTTGTATGCACGAGGCGTAGAACTTTTCGAGCCGTATCATGGACATGCGGGAGTTCATTGGGCCGTCTCGGTGCAGCCCGTACCTGCTAGGCTGGCTTCTGCCAGTATTGAAAATGGAGGGAATCCTACTTGCTTGAAGGAGAGTGAGGGCAATCTCTGGGGTCAGTATCTTCTAAAAACCTGAGCGTGTCTACTTTACTGATGTCACACCAGTGATGTTAATTACAACGGACTGGTTAGACCCATCCGACGACCACATTATGAACACCAGTGCTGAAGCATTGCTGAAGTGGGCTGAAGACGAAGCTAAAAGGCGAGGTTTATTTAGTCCATTCATATACATGAATTACGCATCAGGCTCAGAGCCCGTGATGGTGCGGTCCACCGACGATCAAACACTGAAGAAGATGATTCAAGTGAAGAAAATGTACGATCCGCAAGGGGATCTTGATAAACTATGGCATGGTGGTTTCAAACTGCCTCGAACTGAGGAACATGAACCAGTGACGAATTACGATAGATCCGAATTGTGAATCATGGTTACATTAAATGTGTTGAATAAGTAGCACTTCCAATCCCGTTTTAGAATAATATACCACTTACCAGAATCCAAACGTCTGACGTTGGCGTGCGTTCAAGGACCACATTCTAGAGTTGAGGGAACTCGCGCACAACGGCGCACGTGTGTATTGCCAGTTATACGAAGTGCTACAGTAATACTGTTCGTGGATGTCTATTGCTACAGAATTGAGAATTTGAGGACACAAAACAAAACCAGAAAGTAAACAGTGAGAAATGCACGATGGAAAGCGATTAGTGGTGATAACAAGACGTGCCTATACAAGGCCCCATGAAACCCCGGAAGACGTGAATTATAAAGGAGTGTGACAGTTCTTGTATCGTGAATGACAAGCAGATCCTGTCTCGTGAATGAACACTACAGGAGATCGGCCTGACTGTGCATGTGTCATTAATGCGCCAAACAGAAAGCTCAGTGAATTGTTGGCGACGCGGGATTTTGGTTGTGGTTTCAACGATTGTATTCGTATATTATGATCGTGAAGTAGACAGACCCGGTTCTCTGTCTTTTGCACCTTTTGGTCCGGGATTAGCAGGCGCCAATTTCGAACTCGATCCGGATCGTTTTGAAGCTGGCTTGGCAACTGAAGCAGCGTTGCTTGGAGCTGGATCGGAATCCTGATGACTTCCGTCCTCTACCAGCTTACTCCATTCCTGCAATAATTGCTCCCCAACACTAGGTTCAATTTCTGTTCCATCTCTCGAAACCTTGACCTCTCGATCGTGATTCCAGGGATTTCGAAGATGACGGGTTCGAAAAAAGGGAAGTCGATCAGTGCAGAGCCACTCGACCTTGAAAGGTTCGCCCCAGGTCTCAGGCTTTCCGTCCATGGCCTTCTCCAGATCCTCTGCTCTCTCTTCCACCTCCTCCACTGAATTCAGCCTTATTCTGGATAAATCCTCATCCAGTCTGTTACCGCTGCTTTCGCTACGCATGGCTCGGAATGGAGCAGATTCGTCCAGCTCGAAGTCTTCCTGCGACGCACTATGAAATTGGGCTTGAGCAGAGTGCAGTTTGGGTTTCCAGCGATTGTCGAGGCTGAGTTTTACGGAGGGAGTGCTCATGGTAATTCGGTGATGTAGAGTTCCTAGCTCAGCAGGCGCAGACGCAACTGAAGTTTGACTAGACTGCTGCGGAGGCACCGAGGGAGGTGAAACTGGATCGGGTGAAGCTTCCACCAGTCGGTTTTCACGCGCTGGAAAAAAATTCCTCGCAGGAGGAGAAGTCGGATTTTCTTGTGATGAAGGACTATTTGGCTCCTCTGGTATTGTATCAGAAATAGGGGCACGACTAGTGATGGGGGAAAGGGAAGATCGAGAGGATGCGGATGAATCCGGCCGACTAGCCCAGGGGACACGCTGCTCTCCTTTGCGCACTGGTCCTGCCATTCTTATCACGATTTAAGTATTGGAAACGAATACAAAGCAGATTAGACCTTACTTCGCATATCCATAGAACTCGCCGCTCTTATTCACACCAAAAATCAGGTAAACTTCATTACTCGTACGATAAGCTTGATCTAGGATACCCTCGTTGTGCTTCTGAGTGGCCCAGAGATTTTCTCGAACGCTGAGGTCAAGGTCATACTGGGAGAACAACGAAATATCAGTGCAAAATTTTAAGAAGGGAGAAAAATAGATCATTACTTGTGACAAAGATTTGAGGATAAAATAGCGTTTTGGAAAATACCGAGTAAGTAAACTTGAATTTGTGGAGGCGTAAGAGCCGGAGCTATTGGAATGTGTCCCTTTAACGAAAGGTGGTCGAGTATCATCATCACTCGATACAGAGGCAGAAAGAGCAGCAATGGAAGAATTTGAATCGTCGAGGTCTGAGTGGTCCGACAGATCAGTGGCCTTTTTCTTACCCTTTGCCATTTCTCGCTGATCCCTTAACCACTTTGCATGCATACCGACTCCACGCTGCCCGCCGACACCAGCCTTGAGATCGTCATCCACTTTCCGGACCCTACAAACTAATCGAGGACACCGGGGATCATGAGAACGCAATGGAACCCCATTAAATTTAGCAATCGCAGCATGTAGTTTAGCTTCATTCTCATAATTAACGAAAGCGCAACTAGACCTCGAAATGAGGAAGATGGAGATAACTCCTGAAGATGAGGCTGTATCATCGGATTGACTGAAGAACCGCCATAGTTCATCGTGGGTAGCATCCGATGGAACATTGCCGGCCCACATGACCCATTCCGAACGATAAGATGGCGGGTTGGGATGATAAGGACGACGAGCGGCGGACGGTCTTTCTCCGGAGACAGATTTCGACGAAGAAGCAATGGGTCCAGGAGAAGGATTCGCGGGAGTTTCTTCTCCGGAAGCGGCAAGGGAGGAAGGGGGCTTACGCGCAGAATTTATTGAAGCAGGAGATCGAATAGGCGATATCGGATAGCTGGCTGGAACAGACGCTCCAGGAGTGGCTGTGTAGGTATTTTCCAGTTCTTGGTGAACGGGAGAATAGTTCATAGGGTAATGACCAGGATATGATGGAGCATTAGGCGCTGCATGAGGAAGATACCACCAAGTACCCTGACCTTCAATCTCAGCCGGAGAAGTGAAATGCTGCGGATAAGGCGCCGGCGCATATTGTGACTGATACACAGGAGAAGAAGAGTAGGAATGGTGGGAATAAGGATATGGAGAGGGCGACATGGAAGAGGGATAACGTAAAGAGTGGAATTGCCCGTGACTGGGGTACGGTGGAGGGGTGTTTTGTGAGGTAGATCGCGAAGACATGGGAGGAGAGGGAGAATTACCCTGTGAAGGATGAGAAAACATGGGCTGGCTAGAAAATCCTGTTGAGGTGCCCTCTGAGCCATGGCGCTGGTA